ACTAAGCATTCCTATTATTGGCATGCATTTAGAGCTCTACACAAACAGGGGCTCCCTTCCATGGCAAAAGAAACTCCACGTTAACAATCAAAATGTACACATACAGATTTATCAACAAGCTCCTGCACAGCATTATCAAGGTTTTATGAGACTTCTGATCCCAGTCAATGTGTCATAAATTAGCACATTTCCAATATGCAGATAAAACACAACACTATAATCTATGTTCTCATCCTATAACTGTCATTTATTGTAAATCAGTGTTCTTAAAGGCTGGCTAACTAAATTCTCCTTTCCTTAGCTTTAGAGGAGACTCTACAGTGTCCTCTGAAATGGCAAGAAACAGAAGGGAAGTTATGCAAACTACCTCATTAACTTGGGGCAGTGTCAAGTGGGTAAATCCAGTGCTGACCCAGTTTGGGAAGTTATGCCAACCCATGCTGGTGATCACATCGAGCTGCAGTGTGGATCCTACAACTTGCTTGTGCTCTGGTGCTCAGCCAGCGTACAATTAAGCTGCAGCTTAGTCTGGCTCCTAAAGGAGTTATTTGCACCTCAGTCCACTGCCATGTTAAAATCAATCTAGGCCAAGCCCCAGTGTTCTGGACACAAGGGTAGGGGGGAACTAAGAGCATTCCTTACTTAAAATGGACATATCTTGAGAAGGCATTTGTTCAGAACAAGGCAAAAAACAGATGCTACTGAAACAACAGCAATGTTATCACTTGAACCCCACCCATCCCCAGGGAAGCGATAAATACTCAGTTCTATTGCACTAGGAAGAGCAAGAGACGGTATCACAGAGGTATGTGTTTTTAATAAAGCAAATAGATGCTGCAACATGCAGTATTCGTAAAACTTGACAACATATACAGACCTCTCAGGAGGAAAAATATATATATATGTAATCAGAACCAGAGTCCAGATATTTAAAGACAATGTATACACAACGTTTTGATAAAACCTATCCATTGTACAGAATATATAAAAAAAGAAGAGCAGCTCCTGCCCCTGGTTTCTTTCCAACTGGACCAATGTGGTAAAGAGGTTTCCCCAACTGGGGCTGATCTTGGATGCAACAGTTGCATACCCCAAGATGAGCCTCCATTCTCATGCATGTGTGCATGTGAGCAGTTCCTGCTTTTGCTACATCATCATGTGGCATAGCAGAAATCAGCTCTTTCCAATTCACCTATCAAGCTGGGATTTAGTTTATTTTAAAGCAGGTGGGGGGGGGATTGATGGGGTATTGCCGTACAGGGAGGGAGTTGCATATATTGTCTTGTTTCTGAGCTTGTCCGTGATTGTACACAATGGTGCAAAACGGGGAAGAAGGGGGAGTGGAGGAACTGGGGAGAGTCCCTTTCACAAACAAAATATGGATGATCAGGATGTTGTAGCAAATGACGTCCACCTTTAGACTTTAGCTGAATGCATTCTCAGTGGGAGAAAAATGGGCGGGGGGAGGAGAAAAAAATCTAGATGGAAAAGAAATGTTCCCTTGTTTAAAGGGGGGGGGGAATGAAATCTTTGCCATCAATGTAAGACCAAAGACACTTTTCCAGGGGGGCAAAGCATTTTATTGCGGTATAAATAGGGAGTTTTCTGGGTCTTTAGGCTACTAATGCGTACATCAAAACGCCCCTACGAAGAAAACCCAGTGGTCTTCTCTTAAAAGCTGCTTCTCTTGCTGAGGGAAATTTACAGACTGTGTCAAATGAGGACACGCAAAGCTTATGGTGTGTACTTTAAGCAATTTTTTTATTTTTTTATTTTCAATTAAGGGACAAAATGGGTGAATGAACAGGGTAATGCAGACAACTGCCCATTAAAAAAATAACCCCAAAAAACACAGACAGTGGTTTTCCCAATAGAATTTAACAAAGAGTAGGAAAAAAAATTACAGTAAAGAGCCAGGTTGTCAATGACCTTTGGTCATCCAAATAATAAAAAAAAATAAAAAACCCCAAAGAAAAATAAAAGATCAAATCCAACGGCTCTGTTCTGAACAGAGCACATAAGCAATAATAAATAGTGACTTCCATAGTAAAAGATAAAATTTCAAGTTACGACAAACAGCTTTCATTACAGGAATAGAAAAGGCCCAATAATAACAAAATATTTTGCATTGCCATATACAAAAAAAGGTATCGACTTCAGTGGGGCTCTCTCTCTCTCTCTTTTTTTAATATGCTTTGCATATGAAATCCTTTCCGATCTAAATATATAAAGCACCATTTTAACTTTTTTTTCTTTTTGGCAATGGAAAAAAAATCCTGCAAAACTTGTTTAAATTTTTTTCCTTTCGTTCTATTTTTTTGTATTTTTTATTTTTACTGCATATGAAGTTTAAGATGCTGGAATGTAAAAGGGGGGTAAGAGAAGAAGAACGGGGATCAAAGAGCACACTACAGAACAAACCAACATCATCACCTTGCATTACTGCATACAATATGGCAGCAGAAAACAAAGGAACCCCAAAAGAACCTTGATATGTACAACCCTCTGTGACGCTTGGTTAGTGCGACATTCAAACAGATTTTTTGCCCCTCCCCCCCCAAAACAGCCATTATATGGCCTCTTATCTGTACAATGTCACACTATTGTTGAATTTTTTTTTAAACATACAAATAATTTGCACTATATTATCCTGCCAAATTAAAAAAAATATACTGTGGCAGCCTGCTTTGTATGTGTGTCTGTGTGTGTGTTTTTTCCACTACCAAAAAAAAGGTACATAGATACCTTTTTTGTAAGAGAAACAAGCAACAGTTAAAAATACAAGCTTCATTATAAATACTATATAGTGCCTACTCTAGGTGAACATTAAATTCAAATACCATTCTAGAAATTACAGAAAAGAGAGACCATAAATGTGTTTTTCTTCTTTTTTGTTTTTTGTTTTTTTTCTTCTTAGCATAGGAACCAACATGAGTGTGCATTTTCCTATATTTAAGTACTATATATTCTTAAACCTTTCCCCAAATGCATTTATTTTACAACCTGAAGAGCTGTGTGTATATCCAAGGCATAGGATTTCCACTACTGGTTTTCAATGAAGAACAAGTCTTGTACACCACCAAGACAATGAACCCTAAAATACAGGGCTTTTTTTTCTCCCCTAAACATAATGAAGTGTTTTTTTAAAAAAATTTCATAACATTTATATTTAAAAAAGTTTTGTACAAAAAAAACATCCTTGCACTGTAGGAACGAGAGCAATCATTCATTATTTCTAATATAACTGTAGGACCTGTTCCCATTCACAGCGCCGTAATAATGTTGCGTCCCAGTCATTAGTCAAGTAAACGGCAAGCTGGCAGAGTTTTTCTTTTACTATGCTCATAAGTGAGATCATGCTCAATTTCTAATTTTTTTTTCTCGTTAATTTTGCAATTTTTCCCTTAAAAGTATAGACCTGTAAACTGGGAAAATTGTACAGTGCATTTAAATTGTCCTATCTGAGCAGTCTTAAAAGATTTTTTATACTCAACCTGTGTACCTCTGATTAAAGAAAAAGATTCAGACACGCCAGGCAGAGTCAAGTGCTATGTGAACATCCAACAGGGGCAGATGCTAGCTTAGTTAGAAAAAACAATGAATCCTTTTTCCATGTCAACACAACTACCACATAGCATGACGAAAAAAGAAAACTCAAAAACAAAATGAAGTACATTTTAGGGAGCACAGACATATACTGCTACTCTTTTAAAATTATCTTTTTTTCCAGAATGTCACACTTCAAGGCAAATCGTAATAGTTCATAGTTAATCATCATATCAATATTAGCTTATAACCTGTTCTTAGTTTTAAATGGCAAACAGTACCACTTTGTGCTAATAAATCACTATTTTTTTTGCTATGTGTTATACTCAGTACAATATTATTGCCCGTCTGTTTATACGTCTCTCTCTCTTTCTCTCTCTCTCTCTCTCTTTAGAGATCAATAGATAGAAATACGGTATACAAGGTTGTAAATTTCCAATCTGATTGTCAAACTGACAACCAAGTGGGTCTGGACATAACTATTTTAATTCCTTTTCTCCCCCCCCCACCCCGGTAACATAATCACTAAAAGATACTATTAAAATCTTTGTAAGATGAATTCTCTTCCTAGTTTATTTAATCACCTTTCAAGGCCTTCGGCGTTTTCACATTCTTTGTTGTTGTTGTTGTTAAAAAAATTCAAAAGGGGTTGGGGGGAGATAGGGGGTGGTAGGAGTGACAGATCCTGTTTCTGGTTTGTGATTTTTCCCCGACTCTCTCCTGGAATAGAATCAATTTGAGTTGACTTTTTAAAAATCAAAATTGGGAGGGGGGGGATCGAATGATGATTAACTAAGACTTATTGGGCTTTCTTAATTTTCTCCTTCTTATTATTCTTTTGTTTTTAGGTAGCCACTGTTGTGAGAGATACATTATAGAATTATCGGCTGAGTCCTAAGGACTCATTTACATTGCCCAGTGCGAAAGTTGAGCTACAAGTTCAAAACAAGTAGAGATGCCAACAACATGGCTTAAATAGATTCAAGGCACTCAGATTTCTGTTTTAAACCAAATGATAGTACAAATTTACCTTTTCACTTATGTCCTTAATTTTCAATTAAAGGCCTTTTTTCCTCCCCATCCCCTCTCAAATGATACGTTAAATCTTTTAAAGACAGAAATCTAGTTAACACTGTGGACATTCTCCATTCCAGTGTTATTGGTCTGTCCATAGAGAGTTAATTCAAAGCACATTTTCTTCTATATGTTTCAAAGCAAGACTGCACATGATATGGGGGTTACAGAATGTATGCAGATTGGTTGGTTCTGTGTTTTAAAAATGACCGTTTTTCTTATAATTTCTCTCTCTCTTTTTCTTTTATGAAACCTTACTGAAAACAGCCATGGAGCTGTTCTGAGTTTGTTTGTTTTTTATTTGTGTGAGTGGGTGAGTTTTGGTTTTTTTGCTCAGCAACGGATCAGGGGACAATTTTTTTAAAAACAGCCATAACATACCATACATGCTGTCCAATTAAAAAAAAATTAATAAACATACACAACATGTAAATTATTGCACAAGAGAAAGGCTCAAAGTTTGCGTAGTATTGCCCCAATACAGATCATGCATTCAAATGGTGGAAACAGAAAAAAAGGAAGAAAAAAAAGGAAAACAAAAACAACAGTGCTGGTGGCAAGCACTTTCTTAATATCCTTAGCTTCCATTAGTTTACTCACAAGGGACTAAAAAACTCTCTACACAAGGGCCAGGAGAAGGTTGGGGGAAGGGAGGAGAAAGGGACATGTTAATATACCTCTATTCAGTTTTTATGTCATTATTCAAGACTCGATCACTGTGCCATTTTTTCATGTGTTTTTCCAGGGTACTGTACACGCTAAAAGGCATCTTACAAATTTCACATTTGTAAACGTCCTTCCCCACCTGACCATGCGTTTTCATGTGCCTGGTGAGTTTGCTACTCTGGGCGCAGGCGTAGTTACACAGCTCACATTTATAAGGCCTTTCCCCAGTGTGGCTTCTCCTGTGGACAGTGAGGTTACTACAGTTCTTGAAGACTTTTCCACAGTACTCACAAGTGTCGCTGCGTCTGCCCTCTTTTGAACTAGGCCTTCCAGGGCCTGGGCCACTAATATGCGGGGTGCTCCCTCCACTTCCTGTACCGCTGCGGCCTGATATCCCTCCATCCATCTCCCCAGGAGGCGTCGAGAAGCGTAAACTTCCATTTTCTGAGGAGTGTTCTGAGGAGGAAGCAAAAGGCGATTGTCGGGAGTCTCCAAAGTTGAGAAATGGATCTTTTAGCTGCCTAGAGGCGGCGTACCCAGCTAGCCACTGGGAGTAAACATTTTCAGTGTTAGGCATAGCCGTAGCAGGTAGGTCAAACTCCTTCTCAAGTTTGATGCGTTTGGAGAAAGGACTTAGGGAACTGGGGCTACCCAAGAGCAGCTTTTTTGACAAACCTCCAGAGGCAGATTCACCAGGGGAACACCCCCGACCATTAATAGTGCCGTCATCAATGCGATCAGATTCACCAGCTACTGAGTCTTCATCGCAAGTGTCTCTGTGCACCTCAGATTCAGACAAGTGCCCTCGTTTATGTTTCTCTCCAAGGACCTGATGAAAGGCTTCACTGAAGTGTTGCATGGAACTCAGGACCATCCCTTGCATGACATCTGGCATAGAACGATTATCCTCAACAGATCGGGAATTGTTTTCATGGTGACGAGCTGCTTCTAGGTTAATGCCAAAGCCATAGTCTGGTCTTTCATTTTCAGTCAAATCCTCCTCCTCTTCTTCCTCCTCCTCTTCTTCTTCCTCCTCCTCTTCTTCCTCTTCTTCATCCCCATTTTCTGGAATCATATTTGAGTCATTCTCACTCTTAAACTTGGCCACTACGGATTTGAGGGCACTGCTAGCACTACCCACAAGGTCGCTGGTTCCAGGCTCCGGAGAACTGGCTGTGGAGAGGCCATCATCTGACTTCACTGTCATGGGGGATGATTTGTGCATATGGGTTTTCATGTGGCGCTTTAGCTTGCTTGCTTGAGTGCACGCATGGTCACAAAGGTTGCACTTATAAGGTTTTTCTCCAGTGTGGCTCCTACGATGGACAACTAAGTTGCTTTGAAACTTGAAGGTTTTTCCACAAAATTCACAGGACTTGGATTTGACAGGAGGCTGGGAAGGGGGAGGAGCAGACTGAAGAGGAGGAAGAGGTGGTGTTGCCAGAAATGGCGGCTTGCTGCCTGGCTGGAATGGTTGCAGTAACCTTTGCATAGGACTGGGCCGGTTCGGTGACAATGGAGGACTAGAGGTGTTTCCAGCTAACTCTCTAAGCCGTCTGGAAAAATCCATAGCTGGTGGCTCCATGGCCATGGGGTTGAGTCGCAGCACCCTGTCGAAGGCACTGGGGTGATGGGTTGCAAGAGCCATTTCTTCGGCACCCAAGCGTTCTATGCGATGTGGATCTAAGTGATGCCTTGGAGGGGGACTAAACAAAGGCGGCGTGGGAGGAAAACGCCCTTCTCCAAGACCTGAAGCTTCTCTCGCTACTGATCCAGGTATTCTGAGTAAGTTAAAAGGGTTATTGTCTGCAATGTGAATCCCATGGAGTGGTGGCTGTGAAGGGCATTCTGCACCTAGTCCTGATGGGATACCAACCCGCGGTGTCAGGGGACTTCCGTGTTCGCTTTCTAAGTAGATTCTTAATCCATGAGTGTTCTGTGCGTGTTGCAAGAGAAACCAGGCGCTGTTGAATGGCTGTTTACATGTTGTACACGTGTAGCTGCTGGGTTCATCTTTACCTGCAAAACAACATAACAATCACATCAATGTTTAATCTTCAAATACCTGCCTTAATGATCAACAGTCATTGGGGATTAGTTTCATTTCTTTCAAGTCATTGTTCCACAGGGTTACAAAAAAGCAGATGGACTTTCATGATGGTTTAATAGACAACCATTGGAACATATAAACAGATGCATTCAGAATACAACTGAGACCCCAACCCCAGACTAATATACTTAAAGTGTACTTGTAGATAGGAACTCTCAGTCTGGGGCAAGGGATGCTCTGTATTCTTGGTGCTTGAGGGGGGGACAGTGGGAAGGCTTCTAGTGTCCTGGCCCCACTGCTGGACCTCCTGATGGCACCTGGTACTTTTGGCCACTGTGTGACAGAGTGTTGACTGGATGGGCCATTGGCCTGATCCAACATTAGCTTCTCTTATGTTCTTAAAATTGCAGTCTAAGGCCAAAAACAGACTACTGCCTTTACAGTAGTTCTATTTTGGCTTCTGGAACTGCTCTGAAACCAGGTTGAACAACATCCTCCAGGCCGTAAAATTCTAAAAACATTTAGCCTGTAGACTGTAAAACACTCAAAAATAGTCCTCTAATTAAAACAAAAAAAATACTTCTAAGAAAACTGACAATCCACGTATATTCAGGGAATTCTCAATTATTTCAGTGTGACATTTCCAGATATATAAGCAACTGTACAAGCCAATCTTATACATGTTTACTTAGAAGTAACTTCAAGTGAGTTCAATGGGATTTGCTCCCAAATCTGGGTGTGCAATTACAGCCTAAGTGAGGCTGAAATCAATGGCACTAGCTTCTACTTATATGGAAGCTCTATGTATCCAATCCTACAGGATCAAGGTCTAAGCCAATTATTTATGTGCCAGGTACTCCTGAGCAGACACGTTTTTAAGAAAACTAATTGCATTTAAAAAGTCCCCCAGATTTATAGATGCTGTTTTAACTGGCAATTCAGAAAATGAAAACTATGATACAATACAAACATTTTTGTCCTATTGGCTTATGGATCACCAAAAGTTTTTTCCAAATAATTAGACAGTTGGGCAGTAGAAAGTGCTATTTGTAGATTAGGAGTTTTTAATTGATAATGTTCAAGTAAAAATGGATTCGGATAACTCAAATCCTACATTTGGCTGAGAAAGATTCAACTGATACAAGAGTGAAAGAGGAAAAGAAATAGATGCAGTTCATCTAGCTATATCTAGAAAGCAGCCATTTGGGCTGAATAAAAATCCCACTGGAGCCATGTTTGTTGCTTTGCATTGAAAATGCATAGGACTGTAAACACCAGTTCGATAAGATGCTCTGTATCTGTATTTGATAACAATTTATCTTAATATGGTACAGATAACCAGTTCCTACATTTTAGTAAGAGGTTCTCCTGCTAGTCTGTAGCGCACAATCAGCCTTCTCTTGGGAAGGTATGAGTTTAATTTACATATCAGTGAGCATGCTGTGTTATCTGCATGTTTGGGGAAAACCTGGGGCTCAAAGAAAACATTTAAGGGGTTCAAAAGATTGCTGCTGACTGCAGCAGGAGCCATGCATCTCTTCCCAGTAGACAAGGTAATTTTTTAAATTACAGAATGGTGTTACTGTGTTGTGAGGTTTCCTGCATCAACAGGAATCAGCCAATCATATAGAGCAGGGAACATGATGTCACACACAATTTTTTAAGTTAGTCATTATGGGGACAGAACAAGGAAAAAATGTAGGGTGGTTTCTTTTTGCAGTAAATATACATTAACCATTAGTATGAACTGGTGCAACCAGTCAAGAAGCCCATATTCTAATTGATCAGGACAGATCTCAACCAACATTCCACTGAGGTGAATGCCTGCTAGCTTGAAAGTTGCCATGTTTTACAGCAGATAACTCTCAACACCCAGCTGGAACAGGAAACTCCCTTATTTTCTTGGCTGGTGTTTTTCCTTGCACCTAGTTTGGCATACTGGACGTTCAACCAATAATATTCTCTTGAATCCCTTGGTAAATCCCTATTCCACCTGGGTGCAATTATTTCAAAGCAGCTCCACACTTCATGCTGAAATCATGTTTGCCACAGGTTACACTGATAATGTCTGCTGAGGATACACATCCTGAAACACCTGAATAGAAATTTGTGGGAGCCCTGATGAAGCCATGGCCCCTCAGTTTGCATAAAGCATTAAGCACGCATGTTGACCATCCAGGCCTCCTGCATTTGCTGAGGCAAACACTAGTTTATGTATGAAAACCTAGACCAGGGGTGTCAAACATGTGGCCCGTGGGCTGGATCAGGCCCTTGTAGGGGCCCAATCTGGCCCCCATGGCCCTGGCTGTTTTCTACTTCCTTTTCCAGTTCTCTTGCTGCTGCCAGGTCACAGCTTCCTTTATCAGTGTCTCTCAATCGCACAGGAGAGATAAATAGGCAAGAACTGGCTGAGGCTCCTCCCCCTCCTCCTCCCAGGGGGAGAGGGAACCGCCAGAGCTCATTTCCTGGCCAAGCTGCAGGAAACAAAGGGAAGTCTTTCTTTCCTTCCACTCGCTGAGACTCCCCCCTGAAAGGAGGGAGGGAACTAGGGAGAGTTTGCTTTGCTGGGCTGCCTCAATAGGACAGGAGAAATACCAAACACCTTTAAGACCAATAAAGTTTTGTTCAAGGTATGAGCTTCTGTGTGCCTTGCTACAGTGTGTGTGTGTTTTGTTGAGCTCCTTATGTCAGGGCTCTCCTGGGCCCAATTGGGTTCCCTCCCCCTTTTCACTGTATTCATGCCCTCATGATCCAGTCTTTCTCAGTAAGAAATCAATGTGAACTATTTTAGAGGAGGATTATCAACAAGCCAGTGAGGTGGATTAGGCTGAAAGTGTGTGTCCAGACCAAATTCACTCAGCAGATTTCCCCTGTAGGAAGTTGTAGTTATTTCTATGGGGAAGACTATAGTTTTGTAGACAAACTCATGGCCCCCAGTCTATGTTAGGGTGCCTTCTCATGTTATTGACCAGCACATGAAGCAACTTATGTATGTTTGCAATGCCCAGCCATTTCATGTTTTCCCCTGGGTCCTAGGCTAGGAACACTGAGCATGAGATTTCTGTAATGAATGTCAATAAATCAAAAGTAGGTTTGTAGCTTACAGATACACACCCGAACAGCATACTCAAGATTGTTACAGCACAGACATTTTGATGCAATAATTCAGAGCAGAGGTGTCAGTTATCAGAGACTGTTAAATAGACAAAATATTGCAAGAGTGCTAGTGTTTTAAACATGTTTTATCTAAAGTTTTTAAAATCTTTAATTGTGTTTGTCTGTGTCCTTTATAAAGTTTATATCTCCACTACCTGCATTACATTTTAAGACACACATGGCCCGGCCCAAGAAGGTCTCATTTATATCAGATCCGGCCCTCATAACAAATGACTTTGACACCCCTGATCTAGACTGATAAATGTTCCTATTCATAAGATACTTGCTCTATATTAATAGAAGATCTACATTGTAGAACACATCTATATTAACAGAAGATCTACACTGTAGAACACATGTACTTTGGTAAAACAATGGCCTCTCACACAGTCTCATACACACTCTGTCAAGCCATGGATCTATCCAGCTCAGTAACATCTACTTCAATGGGTAGTAACTTTCCAGGGCCTCAGGAAGAGAAGGGTCTTTCCTAGCCCCCTGCTCTTGAGACCATTCAGCCTGCAGCTTCACCAGGGACATACAAGGTACACACTCTACTACTGACACATGACTGCTCTCCCAACGCAGTGGCTGTGCTTCACAAGGCAGCTCCCATAGGGTTGCCAACCTCCAGGTGGCACCTGGAGATCTCCTGTTGTTATAATTGATCTCCGGACAACCAAGATCAGTCCTCCTGGAGAAAACGGCTGCTTTGGAGGGTGGATTCTATGGCATTATATTCTGCTGAGGTCCCTCCCCTCCCCCGGCTCCAACCCCAAAATCTCCAGGTATTTTCCAAACCAAAACTGGCAACCCTATTAAAGAGGTGGAAATATTTACTTGGTTCATTTTAATTTCTACAGTTAATCCATATTGTTTCATTTTACTGTGGTCTTCACTATCTAGAACTGAAATTACAGAAAAGATGAGGAGAAATAAACATCCCAGCAGCTTATCCTGACACGAAAGCTTATGCTGGAATATGTTTTGTTAGACTGTAAGGTGCCACTGGGTTCCTTCTTTGTTATCCTGACAGCTGATTGTGAAGTTAACTACTTAGCCATTTTGAAAACATAAAAGCTACCTAGGTTTGCTGGTGAACAATACCTACAGACGCACATACACACATACTGTACTAGTCCTCTAACAACAAGCAAGACTTACAATGGTATTTGACTGCTCAATGTACTACGAGGCTGACCTGTAATTTACTTTGCGGCGCTGTTTATAATCTCACTCAATATAACCCACTTGTGGGCAAATCTTTTTACAAGATTAGACAGTAGATGCCAAAATTAGGTTTCCAAACATATGCCTAATGTACGTGCCGGTGGAAAGGAGGGAGGGGAAAATGAAGTGGATGGATTTTGAAAGAAAATGCTGAAGTCCCTATCAACTGATCTTCATTGTTCTTGTTTTCCTCCTCACTTCAAAGAAGAAGAAGAAAAGCTTTATAAGGGGATTTTCATTATACAATGTGTTGAATAAATGACTTTGGAAAATGACAGGCAGGCTGCCTTACAGTTATGTCTACTGTGACTCACACGGAGGGTTTTTTCTCCCCACTCTGTAGCTTCAGGTTCCTCTATTATTATACATTTAGTCTGACAATCTGAATTGGGTGAGTAAAAGAGAGAGAGAGAGAGAGAGAGAGTGCAATGCAGCCATTTCTGGCAGGTGTTTAACATTTTGGTCGCTTTAAAAAGCCTTTGGAATAATATTTAACATTTCATTCTTCTGCCACTGCCAGCATTTTAATGAACCACATTACGATGTTTAGCATAGGGCGTTGAAGACAGCAGCAGATAAATAC